TTTGCTTCTGATATATTGTAAAAATTGTTTCTAATATAATATATGTAAGTGTTAAGGTACCTCAGTTTCCTAGACTTAATAAGATGCCTTCATCCTTCTTTGGTTGTGAAGTACATTTTATGATTTTCATGTGATATTGAGTTTTTCTTTTGTGTTTTCATGTTAGACCAGTATTTGCTCATAGGACAAGAGTTCTGTTATATTTGGACCATGTTTTTTCTATTGGTACAGGGACTGTAAAATTTTTCTTCTTACATATATGCTGAGGGCAAGTTAAGTTAAACTAATCATAAGTCAGTACCTTAAAATATAAGTTAACATACTTTGTTTTGAGGGACGAAGATGCACTATCACTGTAAATTAAATTTGTGCCATAATGTTCAAGTCTTTTAAAAATTTTTATAAATATTCCATGAAATATAATATGTGGCATATTATTTTGTAATTTTGTTATTATCAATTAAACTATGGCATGATCATTTTACAATTATTGTTTACATATTTCTATAATGTTAGTTTTTATGGATTCATCATGTCTCTACTTACAAATGTTTTGCATTCTTTCCTGTAAACTTTCTATAATCAATAATTCATGTTATTTCTCATTTATATCATAGATATATTATGATAAATGACAATAAAAGTATTTATGAATGTATCTTTGTTTCCTAAAAAATATTTTGAGTAAAACTTATTGTTTTTCATAGTTTTTTCTTCATTTTTTCATACTGGGGATTGAACCCAAGTGCTTTTTTACCCATTGGCTACATCCCCAGCCTATTTTATTTTGAGACAAGTTCTCTCCACATTTCAATTCAGACTGTTCTTGTACTATGATCTCCCTGCCTCAGTCTCTGGGTTATAGGCTTTCAGATTCCTGGGATTATAGGTGTATGTGACTGTGCCAACTTCAAATTATTTGTTTTCTGCTTATAATCAAACATAAATGTTGTGACAAATTATATTCAAAAGAGAAGTTTTGTACACACAAACACACCTAAGAACTCATAAAC